CCAATAATAGCATAAACAAGGAAGAATAAATGTTTTATTACCTCCACTGATGAAAGTAAAAGTATTGTTATGTGTATTTGCTAAAAGAGCAAAACAAAGTTATAGAAAAAATATTTTCTATAAACATGAAGCTAAAAAACCAACTTAATAAATAAATTAAGATGGTAATAAGTGTACACACAACATAATATTATTTATGAAGTGACATCATTATATTTTCCTAAAATAACTAAAGTAGCAAAGCGGATGAATTGAACAATGAAAGCAATGCTAAGAAGTTTTGAGTTATCACAGAACATGTGGGGGAGAGAGAATTAGTTATGTGAACTAATTACCTTTTTAATTAAGGTCCCAAGAAAGAAAAAAGGATAAGACACCACATGAGTTTCAGACAAACACTTAGAAATATGGGGGTTATATTGACAAGGTAATTGTTATATTATCAAAAATAGATGAAAAATAAATTCTAAACAATGGATTGTACTTTCTTTGACTATCCTATTCTTAGAAGGATAGACTGATCCTAGTTGGAATTTGATATTCGTGTTATCAACGGCATAAGTGAATTTGTTTCACACTGGAAGGAAAAGTTTGTTTCATGAAAATCCCTAAGAAAACGGTTATAACCAGATTCATAGTGAAATATGAGTTTGAAGCTCTAGATAAGTCTAGGGAATAATGCAATTTCTTGGAGGATATTCTTAAATACTTAAACGTGTGCCTACATTATTCTTTTACTGTGACTAGAAAGTATAATGGTAAGTCGAGACATATGCATCGTCAACATAATACCATTGACAACTGATCTCAAATTGAGTTATCTCTATCAAATTATAAAATTACGAATACGCTAACCAAAGGGTTAAATCGAGATAAGTTGAGAAAATATCTAAAGGAATGTGGCTAAAGACCATGCAATTTAAAGGCATTATGTGAAGGAAAACCCTACCTTGTTGACTGGAGATCCCAAGATCTAAGTTCAAAGGGAAAACCTAATTGCATAACCCGTGTACGGTCATTGTGGGGGTTTCTTATCCCAAGTCCATTACTATGATGTAAACAATGATAAAAGTGGTATAAGCTAAGCAAAAGCTTTTAATGACAATTGTGTGCTGCAGTAAGCCAAGCAATATAAGTCACTTATGTGAGAGTGAAGTGGGGTTGCTTCAAGGAGACTATCGGACATAGTTATTTCAAACTCTTGCAAAACCAGGCGATGTCCATGGCTTTAAGGACATACCCATGAGAACTAAATTCTTGTCAGAGGGGTAGTTGTGTGAAGTATGTCATCGTTTGCACAAATGGCAGAACAATTAAAGGATATCACATCTACTGTTTAACCAATAAAGTAAATATACTGTCACAAGGGAAGGTTCAAAGTAGGACACCTACATATTCTATGCAACTATCAATCATAGAGGCTATCACCACATCGTGCCAAAAATGTTTTTGATTAAATCATTAATTTCATTCATGTGGGGGATTGTTGGAAAAAGGGCGAATCTAATTGATGGATTTAATATTTATATTAAATTCATATTCCTTTTGACTATTGTAAATTAAAATATATTATTTAGTTTGTATATTAGTAGGATAATTACTCTGAATATGCCAATTTAAAAGGTATTTGTTATCTTTTTTAACTTTGAATATTAAAGATAATTATATATTTTTGTATATTTCAAATTAAAATAATATCTATTTAAGTTTGATTTGTAAAAAGAGTTTTATCTTTTAAATATTTCAAATTAAAAGATATTATTATCTATTTAAAGTTGAATATTAAAATATATATGGTTGGATTAAATCACTCTTGAAAAATCTCCTATAAATAGTGAGTAAATCTCTTAGGTTTTTCACATCTAAAAACTTCTGAGAATTCAAGAACTTTTCTTCTCTTGAAAACAATATTTTCTCTCCTTAGAAAATATTCTCTTCCACTGGTTTTCCGGTGATAGTCAAAGGCAAAGATCGTTTGTGATCTCTGCAGATGTGTTACTGTAGCTGATCATAAGTTGTTGTACCCTAGGAGACAGACGACCAACAAACTTGAGCACCAAAGGAGTGGTTGAAAATCTGTCTTAAGGAAACTGTGTAGCGACATACCTCAACTGATTCCGCTCTCAACTGATCAAAATAAAAAGAGTATTTTTCTTTCTATTTAATTTTGATTCGCTTTATGAAGTTTAATTTCTTTATTTGATTTTCTCAAGTTTGATTTCGTCTCAGATTGTTACTCCGGCAAAAAATCTTAAGACAATAAACTCGTTCTATCCCTTTAATTTTATAATGATATTTATTTCTTACTATTTTTCTCTATCATTCTCGGATTAGAAAAAAACATACTTAACAATTGTATGATAGCATGTTCATGAAATTACGAAGTATGTTGGTTGTACGACTTATTTTTTTATTTGTAACCAAAAAATTAAGTTTTCATTAAATGAAAAGGCAATGTACAACAAAGGCAATACAATCTCAACATGGAAACTCAAAGGGTGTGAAAAATAAAATAAAATAAAAATCTTCCTTTAAATGCATTCTCCATCATTCAAAAAACCTAGCTACTATCAATAATATCCATATTTTGTTCAAACCTAGATGTAATATAGATGTAGGCATAGATATTGAGAGAACCAATATGACAAAATACTCTAAGAACGGTTCTAGATGCATTAAAAAACTGTCGCAAAAAGGGATTCAACCATATGAGATGTCGATCTTTCCTCATGAGAAGGAACATCACGATGAAAGCAACACAAGACTCCAAATTATAATAACAATAGACTAAATCATGTTATAAAAGCATACATACAATCGTGCAGTAAAAACATACAGACAATCATGCCATATAGGAAAATAAAAATAAATAATTTAAGAATATGCGAAAATAAAAAAGGGAAGGGTGATTATTTAGATCTAAATCAAAAGAAAATTAAGAAAAAAAATAAGAGGAGAGATAACGATACTAGACTGCGCCTACGATGACACTTCAAAAGAAAAATTAAAAAATCACTCTAGAAAGAAAAATATGAATAATTTATTTAGTGATGTCAATTTGCACAACCTACTCTCTTACGTGAACAAGGTAGAAGAATGGAGCTGAATTCTCGTTTAAAACCGCCCACAGTTGAAATTCTGAATAGACATGCAATTGGAGTTTGTTCATGCGTTCCTAGGAGGGAATCAAGTCGCTAATGGTATGGCCAAATTAGCTTGGAGCCTCCCCTTTGGTCGTCAAACTTTCTGGCTCCCTCCAACAGAGCTTCAGCCATTGTGTCAAACTAGTCTGCGTTTGGAGTTGTACCGGTCTCTAATGGAGTAGCTAACTGGTATGCGTTTTCATTCTTTCGTATTCAAAAAAAAAAAAAAACGTTATAGTGAGAAGATACACCGATCTCTTAAAATTGATTTTAAGAAAGTTTCATCCATTTTGTGCAAGTGAGAAATGTTGGAATTTGTATTTGGGTCCGCCCATAATGAGTGATACCTGATCCAAATCAATAACCGCTTAATAAAATTATAACCAATAGGAATTATATAAGTAGTAATATCGATTTATAAAAAGGTATTAATATAGGTGGTCACATTGGTTTTAGTGTTGATTTCTAACTGTAGGTATTAGTATTAGTCTTTTTATAGTTATTTTCGTTTATATTTTCTCAAGATTAGATTAGACTTCACCAACTGATCAATATTACACTATTTTGTTATTAAGTTGATATTTCCTGTTTTGGATTATTAAATTAAATTTGGATACGCGATTTGTGTTCGTAGATAGTTTTCTTAAGTCACTCAACTCTGATTTTACGATTTTTTGGTGTTCTTTCAATATCTTAATCTCTTTTTTGTGGTTCATTTTTTTGATGCAATCAAATATGTTTGTATCTATCTTTTGTTTGAGATTATTTGGTTAAAATTTTTAATCTTTTCATTGTATAGTCATCATGTTATCTTAATTGACTAGTTTTTGTGTTAATGATTATAAAACAATATCTTTATTATGTGTTTAGTTTACGTTGTGATTGTAAATTTTTATTGTAATTTTGATTTTTAATTTTGAATAAAAATAGTAGGTTCTATATATAAAAAAACTATTAATGAGACCGTTTGTGACGCATCTTAACTATGGAGTTAAGATTTTATTCAAGTATGATCGTGTCTTTAAATTTTCATAATTATAAAAAAGATAGGATTTGCACGAATCAATTTACCTCGGTGATTAAGGGAATCGCTATTATTTCTAGAAGTCATGAGTTCGAGCACCAGCGATTGCAGCAGAGCGATTGAGCTCTCATTGTCAAATGGCTTAGAGTATTTAGAATAAATACTACTTTGTAATCACCTTAGTTTAATAAAAAAATAATAATAAAAAGATAGGATTTGATAGATTACTTTGAAAATTAAGGAGTTAAATTAGAAATTTCAAAAAATTTAAGTATATATGTAACTTTCAAAAGTTGAGGGTCAATTCTAAAAATTATAGAAAAAATTGAAGATTAACTCTATCATTTACGTATTAAGCAATTCTAGACACAGGGGAAAAAAAAAACAAAAACCCTATTTGGAATCCTAAATTTTTTTTATTCAAAACTTTTGAGGATACCTATCCCCATCGGTGTCGTCAGCCACCTAGCATCCACCCCGGTGCGCCTCAGCTGCACCCCAGCGTGCCTTGCTCTACCTCTGGTGCACCTCAGCCGCACACCATCGTGCGCTGTTCCGCCATTGCACCCCAGCCACACCCTAGCGTGCCCCAACCGCACCCCAGCGTGCACAACCCAAACTCAAAGATCTCTCTATACATATTTATTATGTCCTTCTTCTATATAAAATCATGAATGAAAACATTCTGTAATCAATTAAAATATCTTATATTCTCCATTATCATGGACGACTCAGAAGTGCATGGCTAGTATCTCTTCTTTGGCATTTATATAAACAAATTAACCCAAAGCTTTTTTCCATTGATTTTGAAAATGATTTCTGTTAATTTTCAGGAATAACAAGAACGACAAGGGATCTTCCTCCAAGTCATTACTTAATCAAAATAGAGGCATTCTCTTTATTGATTGAAGCCAAGGTGGAGAAGTACAAATCTAGTGCATTCCATGCAGGGGGACACCAATGGTGAGTGCTGAGACTAGTAAGCTTTGATAAGGTATTACTTTCTTCTTCCTTTCTCATGATATTGAATTTATTAGGAGATTGGTACTTTATCCGACTGGAAATAAAGAGAGCAACGGAAATGGTTACATCTCCCTATACTTGGAAATTGAAAACACTGGGAATTTGTCTCTTGATTGGGAAGTAAATGTCGAATTTAAGTTATTCGTGTTCGATCAGATTCGGGACCTGTACATGGCCGTCAAAGGTTGAGTTCTACACCCTTTTTAGATGAGTAATTGCAGAAATGTCTTTATATACATGAATAATTGCAAGTGCTTGGTTTGTGTATAGATATTGAGGTGCCTGTTAGGCGTTTTTATGAGTTGAAGACTAAGTGGGGCTTTTCACAGTTCCTTTCACAAGAGGCTTTTAACAATGTTGCTAATGGTTATTTGGTGGACGATTGTTGCATTTTGGGGGCAGAGGTTTTCGTTATTCAACGTCCTCTCAAATTGGAGAAATCAGTGCTTCAGAAGCCTGCTGGTGGAACAATTACTTGGATGATTGAGAACTTTTCAAATTTTGACAAGGAATTTTACGATTCTCCTGTTGTTACAATAGAGGACATAAAATGGTATTATTCTTTTAAACTTTATGTTAATAGTCTTAGGGTGATTAAAGGCCGTATCTATTCATAATTTTTCTTAAGTATAGACAATGCACACAAATCTACAGACACATATGCTTGAACCCAAGAACAACAGTCCTTTTAATCATTGAACCCACAGAGTGGGTTCAAACCTTCTTTCTTTTTCGTCATAATTGTATTATCATTTTAGGTCATACAACAAATTTTTTTTGTTCCATTGCAAAACAGGTCAGGAAACTATATGATAAGTGGTATTTTCGTATTGATTACAGGAACTTAACGGTTTATCCTAAAGGAAATTACAGGTCTAAGGATACACATTTATCTGTTTATCTTAAGCTATCCGAGCCCAAAACACTTCAACCCATGCGTGAAGTTTTCGTGAAACAGAAGCTACGTCTTAGGAACCAAATCAGATCTAATCACTTGGAAATGATAGGTAAACACCATATCTGATTTTTTTTATATATATTTTGTGATATGACATGTTAATAGGGTTATGATCCATTTAGACAATGTAATATTAAGATCGTTGCATCAGTGAAAATAGACAATTATGATTAATTTTTTGTTTTTCCCCAGTAAACATCTTTTCATTTTCCACCACTAATATCATGTCTATTTTTACTCATCAAACGGTCCTAAATCTATGTAAAACTAAAAAAATTACACTGTATAACTGGATCTTATCGGATGATATTATATTTTAAGTTTTATACTTATATTCTTTGATGATCTTAATCTTTTCATATTTATATTTCAATAAATATATAATAAAATAGTATTTATTTAACAATGTTATATATTTTTATTTTGCATAGTTCATTTTGTTTAAAACTATTTCTATATGCTTTAATATTTTTTAAAAGTTTATTACAGGTGAAAATTCGTTTACTACTTCCAAAACAAGTTGGGGTTATCCTAAGTTTGTGTCATTAGAGGATCTGCAAGACTCCTCTAAGGGGTATATGGTGAGAGATAGTTTGATAGTTGAAGCCGAATTTATTCTGATATCTAAAGTCGAGTGATTTTCATATCAACCCCATCGACAAACATCTGAGTTTGATTTACATGTATGTTTCTTCTTGGTAATCATTGTTACAAATCAGAAGTTATTGTCACCATATTGCAATTTCTAATAACGTTTTAATTACATGTTCATTTCCTCGACGACTTTAACGACAAATTTAGAAGTGTCAAGAAAGAATCAACGATCATTGTTCTTGACGGCCTTTGCTTTATAGAGAAAACGAGTTCGTAAATTTTCTTTTGTCAGCATGATAATCAATTATGAGATAGTAACCTTCAGGAGCTCGATCCGGTGTCTTTGAAAAAGATTCAACACTTTCTGAGTCAAAATATATTTGAGACTTTTTTGATCGGTACACAAATGACACCTTTCATCATATATCTAATGTATTCAGATTTTCAGGGAAAGCATGACTCTTGGAAGCTCAAGATCGCGAGTCAGATATTTACTTTTGTGTGGTTTGAGTTATCAGATGTGTATGCTAGAACTTTTCCTTCTTCCATCAAAACCAAGCTCGATGTTGACTCAATTAATCAAGATCCAAATCAAATTCAAACTTTTGGAAGGAGAACTCCATCAAATCGATAGGAAATCCAATCGTTTGAATCATCGACATACATCTCTTGTACACTTGATTAATTGTCACCCTATCTTCCAAAGGATTTGTAGGAAGATTTTTTGTTTTGTTTGGTTTTAGTTTTAGGTCACTTAAACAAGTTGTGAACAAAGAAATGAACGTGTGGATCCAAGATCCACTAATAATGCAAATATAAGCTTATTAAATAATTCAATAGTACCTACAATCAGGGACAGGCGCAAGATTTTATGTCAGGGGGCGAACTTTAACTTATAAAATTCTAGGGAGTAAAAACATATTTTCAATCGAAAATACATGGACAAAATCTAAAATATAAGGTAATTTTAAATTTTAAAGGGGGCGACTGTTCCCTTAGGTCCATCCTTGCCTACGATCACATCTTGAGTGTCTTGTTTCTCTATGGTGCGAACATTATATATCTAAACTGGAACATTCAACCTCTCAGAGTTAGAGGAACAACCAAAACCTTTTGGGACTGAGCAGGGGTAACATAGATGTTCCTAGGACAATCCAGGATGAATGGTCATTGTCTACACAAAAGAAACAAAATTGTAATGTCCTCTACCCCATCTAGATAGAAACCGGATCAAGAGTGTAATCGAAACTTAAATATTACAAATCATACATGACATCATATTACAATCACAATTTCAAAATATCATGATTTCCATTCATTAGTCAAATCACAATTTGAATTCCTTACTTAGGGGTTGGATTAATGTTTACTGAAAGTCTGGGATCCTATTCGTAAATAATCTAAAATTAACCAAATTACTATTTCAAACTTAACTAAGTTAACTTACAGGATATTTAACAAAAATAACGAATCAATCTATTGAGCTTATCAATCATTAACACCTTATAACTTGAATCCATGCTTATGATCTAATTTACAAACTTAAAAATTCAAGGACCTATCTATAAATATTGGAACTATGGGAATTTTTAAATTAAACAAACATTATCGCAAAATCATTACATAATCATATTATTATTATTATTTATTATTATTATTATTATTATTATTATTATTATTATTATTATTATCATCATCATCATCATCATCAGATTTAATCATTTCATGACACTATCTTGTCTAAAGGTGAAATTGAAACTTTTTAAAAACATAGGGATCTAAGTGTAAATATTCACATATTAATAAACTTAATAATTTTAACTTATCAAACATTTCTTAAGATTATAATTATTCCAAAGCGGACTTAAAACAAGCAATTTACTACTTGCTTGGCACATGACATCCAAATTAATACATTAAGGACTTAATCGTGAATTAACTAAATTTGAAATCTATAAAAAATTCCATAATTCAAACAAAGTTCAAACGTGACCTTCTTAACATATTTAGTCTTATTAATCATTTATTAACGTTAAACTTTTATTTGGGACTAATTTGTAATATTTTAAAAGTTTAAGGAATAAATTTGTAATTATTCAAAAATTAAGGATTTATCTTACGATCGTATTAAACTTCTTATTATATTTACTAAACAGCTAATTTTTATATTAAATATACAATTTCTATCATATAATACATTAAAGTTCATTTTTATTACTCAATAATCATAAATAGGGATCAATTAACAAAGTACCATCATTCTAGGGGATAAAGAGAGAATTTTACCTTTCAAACATGGAATTTCAAAAGTAGAGCCGAAAGTTTCGTAGTTCACCTGAAAGTTTCGAAACTTACATAAAAGTTCTTAAAACTCCAAAAGTTTATGGAATGGAAGTATCGAAATTTTTCCAAAAGTATGAAAACTTTCCCTCAAAATTTCTGAACTTTTCCAAAAGTTTAGAAATTTCATGCCTGAAAAATCAATATGTACATTTTTTACATGCCAATCAACCTCATTTAATTTCTTAATCAACAAAAAAAAATCTTACCTATCAATCAAAACATATCCTAACAACTATAAACTCAATCAACATGCACTTAATAACCAATAAACACTCAAGGAGTATGGTTTCATACAAATTCAACCTATTTGCAAGTTATGCTTAAAATCTTATTATGCATTTCTCAAATTCAAGGATCAATTAACATGGCAACACTTCACACATAGCTTATATGACCTTGTACTTTAAGGAACCATTGAAAATCATCTAATTCATGTATACGACATGCATTCAATCTTTCTATGCCACTTAACCTGCCAAAATGTCACGAATCATGCAATCATAAAATCAATATATCTACCTTATGGTTTCAAAGCCTGATACTTGTTTGTGTGATCTTACCTTTCATCATCACAGCACTTGAGGGCCAACATCACCAAAACACACTTTCACAAGCAATACAACATGAAAAACTTTAAATCTTAAACTAGTTAACATATGAATTTAGCTAATATTAGTTACACAACCAAAAGACACATCACCCTGTAGGAGCTTAGTTACAATGAACTTACATTAATTGCATTCAAAAGTGACTTGTAACGTCCTAAATACAATTCCAATAGCTATTGAACTTATTTTTCTGAAATAGTGAAACCAATGGTGCATAAGCTTATATAGCTTAGTGAAGTAATTAACATAATGCAACGCAATTAAACATAACATGATAAGTTGTCCTTAACATACTTGAATGATAAATAAAACATAATGAACATATCATAACATGTAACTTTCATGGTAAGAACTTATATTACAAATTCATAATTTAACATATAACTTCACTGTGAAGAATTTGTATCGCATAAAATCATTATTTATCATATATGTCTTTCATGGAAATAAATTATATCATATACTTAGCTTATTTTTAAATTTAGGATATCAAATAACCATAATCAAATCATATTTATTTATAAAGTTAGCCTTTTGGCTTTCATAACTAGAATATATAAAGTCATTGTTTAGCCCATTGGATTATAAATAGCTATGAATACGTGAATTCTCAACTAAACCATCGTCAAATAATTAAGAATGATCTCCCTCTAATATCACTGATGACTAATAGCTTCCCTCCAACATCGTCAAATAAAGATCATAATCCAAGCCCTAAAATGGGCTTTAAATGGACTCTATGTAATACCCTGAAATTTGGGTTAAGAGTTTTGTATTGATTAATATTTTAAAAAAATATATAAACATACATATATAATTAAAAAAATATATATTTGTATGGTGAAGAACATTAAAAATTATATATAAGGGTGTTGGGAATGATGATTTTAATATGGCAGCAACCCTTTCAGTTTCCATTCATGCGTTAAAGACTTTTAGGCTTATTTTGTTAGGAATTAATTAGGGTAGTATTATATAAATTAAGAGAAGTTATTAGCTAACGAAAAAAGGTATGAGAATGGTGGGATAACCTGCCATGTTGGTTACTTTTCACATTTTAAAACAAAGAAAAAAGATAAGATTGGAACCATAAGAAGAGTGCCACAGCTAGGTGATTGGTGCATCTAACCGGCTGTCATCATCTTCATTTTTGTTACGGTGGATTTTACGACACTGGTTTTTGGTAAGAACCCTCTAAGCTTAAGTTATACTTTTAAGAACCAATCTTAAGTTATACTTTTATGTTTTGTAAGATGAGATTTTAAGTGAGCGGTTGAAGGGGAGGTTGTAACAACTACTGAAATTTCGTTTAATACCGTCTCTCTCGTCGGTGTTTGGCTCACTTGGTTGTCCATTAAAAGAAATAGAGAGCCTTGTCCTAGAGTTGGAACTAGATTGTGGAACGCTTTAGAGAAAATAATAATAATTAAAATATATATTTACGATAAAAAATAGAAATTATAGTTTTCGAATATTACATATGTTGGTGGTAAAATATGTAAGAGAATGACGTTTGAGTTAGTTTCATATTTGATGAACAATTATGCAGAATATATATATATATATATATATATATATGTTAATGGGGATGCACGTTTGGTAGGAAAATAATAAAATAAAAATAAAAGGAAATCAAGTAACTTGTGTTACTGCCATTTGAATTATAAATTCAAATTGCTTTTATTTTGGGCTAACACGTATAGTACAGAATGAATATATAGGTTATGCATCCAAACGTAAGACGATTAAATAATATTTGTCAGTTAGGATTCATTAAATCACGAATCATTACGATGCAGAGAGTGAATCCGAAATACCTAGATGTCAAACGAATCATGTTGGACCCAATATCTCGTTGGGACGTGGAAAGAGTGTTGCTCCTTAATTAAGCTGATTTCAAAGTTCGGAATTTAAGTGAAAATGTTATGTGAAATCTAGATAAAAAGGGATTTGAATGGTCAATTTTAAATTGTTATGGTTAACAATTATATTGTGACATGGAATTAGTATAGAATGAGCATCGAAAGAATTTTTAGAAAATTATTTTTAGAAAATTATTTTCTATTGTGTGTCTATGTTAGTAAGATTCTAAC